ACTATTAAATTATATTATATAATATTAATTATTATTATTTAATATAATTATTATTATTATTAGTATATTATATTATTATAATTATTATTCTTATTATTATTATTATACTTTAATATAATAATAATAATAATAATAAGAATAATTATAATAAAATATAATGATAATAACAATAATATATAATAATAATAAGAATAATCATAATAATTAGTTTAGTTTAGTTTAGTTATTTTAGTTTATTGACTACATTAATACATTATTGTACATTTGAAGTCACAGATTTTGTTTTATATAATAATAATAGTAATTATTATTGTAATAATATAATGATAATTATAATTATATATTATATTATATCATAATAATAATTATTATTATTATAACTATTATATAATATATAATTATTATATTATTATTATTATTATTATTATTCATTAATTATTATATTTATTCTTCATAATAATATTATAATAATAATAATATAATATGATAATAATAATAATTATATATAATAATAAAATAATAATAATAATAAGAAGAATAATTATAATGATAACAAAATAATTATAATAATAAAATAATTATAATAATATAATAACATAATAATAGTATCATTATATAATAATAATAATAAAATAATAATCATTATAATAATTAGTATTAGTTTAGTTTTAGTTTAGTTTAGTTTATTGACACATTACATACATTACTGTACATTTGAAGTCACAGATTTTTGTATTTTAAATATAGTTACATAATTAATATAATCATCGACACTGTAAAAACACTTGTCTATGAGAAAGTTCTTCAATAGTCTATTGAATTTGTAGACATTCATATTTTTCACATCATGTTCTGCGTAACAGTTCACAAATAAATTGTATATTGACATCCGGCTTGTTCAACTTGGATAAACGTAATCTAGAAAAGGGAACTCTGATGTTATTTGCTGACCTGGTATCATGATCATGAACATCGGAATGCGTTACATATTTATGGAGGTTTTTATGAATATGTAAAAGCGTTTCATATATAAAAATGCTTGGTAGTGGTAAAATTCGATGTTTTCTAAAAAGTGGTTGGCATGGTGTGCCGTATTTCGAACCATCAATTATGCGAACAGCTGCCTTTTGGAGTGTGAACGCTTTGAAAGATCCAGAAGCGTTCCCCAAAGGAGGGCACCGTACGACAACTGACTGTGGATTAGGCTGAAGTAAACTGTTTTTAGAATACGTTTATCCAAATATTCACTCATCCGTCGAATTGCAAAGATTTGCGTGGATAACAGACGAGATCAATGTGCGGTGACCAAGTAAGTGCCGTATCCAGTTAACTCCTAGGAGTTTGACAGGATCAGACGCAGGTTGACACTTGTCAGAGCTGAAAACGATAGAAGATGTTTTGGCGTCATTTAGCTTCAGTTTGTTCACCGAGAACCACTTCTTTGCCTGTTCCAAGCCATCAACGCTTAACTCCTGCTGATCCCTTGTTGATAACGTCGTGTCGTCTGCGAACATAAAACACAAACTGTGATCTATTGACGCCGGCAGATCATTTATGTAGGCCAAGAATAAAGGGGACCTAACACCGAGCCCTGAGGAACTCCGTTATCAATAGGGAGCAGAGTAGAGTCGTAACCATTGCAACTAACATATTGTTTCCGGTTAGTCAAGTATGATCGGAACAGATTTAATTCATTACCTCGTACACCGTAGTACTCCAGTTTTAGAAGCAATATACTAGTATTGACACAATCAAAGGCTTTAGTAAGATCGCACACAGTAGTAAAGGTTTTAAGACCATTATCCAGACCATCAACAACATATTCCACTAAATCAAGCAGCTCTTTGATTGTGGAGCTTCCCTTCCGAAATCCATATTGGCATGTGGATAGTAATGAATTTCTTTCGAAATATGATAATAGCTTGTCCTTTAGCAGGATTTCAAAAACTTTCCCTATGATGGGCACAATGGCTATTGGCCGATAATTACATGGGTCATTCGCATCACCCGATTTATGAAGAGGAAGAATCTTTGAAATCTTGAGCGAGTCAGGCCAAACCCCTTCAGAAATGCACTTGTAAAGAATTGAAAGTGGTTCAACAAGAGACTCAATAGCTCTTTTAAGCATGAGCTATTCAAACTGTAGTAGTCCAAGCAAGGAGAGTTGCTAAGCTTGAGAATAGCTTCGGCAACATCAGACTCTACAATTGGAGCAATAAAGAAAGACATAGATGGTTTTCGGACCTTGTTCAGCAATGTAAGTGGGGCAACACTTTCATTGTCAATTGAGCATACTATATTCTTTGAAACTGTGGAAAAATATCTATTGAAGCTATCTGAAGATACAGTGGATTCTATATGATTGGACTTTAATCGATTACGTTCTGAATTAACTATTTGCCAAACTGTCTTGTTTTTATTATTAGTTGTCAGTATTCTTTTGGAATAGAAGCTCCTTTTTTCCAGTTTAATTGCTCGTTTATATTCATAGCGGCAGTTCCTAAAGGCTAGCCAATCTTGCTCTAACCTTATTGATCTAAAAATTTCCTTGTATCTAAATAATTGCTTGCGCATATATTTGAGCCTCTTTGTGAACCATCTCAAACCATTATTCGTATTATCAATTTTCCGCAAAGGAAAACAAGCATCAATTCCTAAATTTAGAGCATTGAGTATTGAATTTGCTAGATTAGCAGCAGTACGCGTATTACTCTCAGGAAAAGACCAGTCAAAATCGTGAAGCTTGCTGGCGAATAACGATAGCCCCTTGCTAGTAACGTTTCTTATCTTAAAAGCTACTACAACGGGCTTGCTTGATTGATCGAATGAACATGTAAATTCCACAATGGTCAGAAAGGTTTAGATCAAGAACACCGGTAATACGGCTCTCAATATCAATATTCGTCAGTATGTTATCCAGACAGGAGCTGGTGGAAGAAGTAATACGCGTAGGTTCGCTAATACAATGTGAGAGACCATATGATGAAAAGGCTTAATAACGTCAGCAGCAAGATGCGAGCAGCTGGTAAGGTCTATGTTAAAATCACCGAGTATGATTAGATTTTTATATCTAGGATACAAATAATCAATCATAAAAACTAGTTTGTCTTTGAATATGGCTATATCACCACAAGAGGATGACCTGTATGTGGTGATCACAGCCATATTTTTAGATGGGGCTGCAATTCCACAAAACTCTGCATGAAATGGTATACAAAAGCTGCTGAGATCAATATCTTTGAAATCTGAATGACTGTTAACCAAAATTGCAACGCCACCATGCGCATTGGCAGGCCTACAGTAGGAAGAAATAACAAAGTAACTATTAAAATTAATCGAATACAATTTATCATTGTTCAGCCAATGTTCCGATAAGCAAATTATATCAAAGGAACATTCACTCAACCACAAACACAGCTCATCTACTTTGCTAGATAAGCCTTGGATGTTCAAATGCATTATTGAGAGACCATATGTAGTAGAACAGTCCTTATCTGCAGAATGAGAGGACATCTCACAGTTCTCTTGAACGCCGGCCATCTGCACCACGCTCTGATCTCTTGAAATCTCCTTTGGTATTTCTGGCTCGAAAAAATCGGTTCAACAGAACACCTGTAGGCCAGATGTTACTATCCATAATGGTGGAAGCTTCGTCGACTGGAACAGATACCTTGAAAGATGAGTACCTCTCGGGATATCTGGCTGTCAACCTCTCGACCTTTACATTTGGAGCAACTGCTTTCAAATAATCCGAGAGAACCTTTTCGTCTGTTTGTGGATCAAGGCGCGTTACATGATAGTGTCTGATAGATTTCGCTGTAGCAGCCTTTAAGGGACACTTTGTAAACCAGACATACTACCTATTAGTAAATTTTTGGGCTTACGTTTGCCATCATCTACATTAGTTTCTTTATCAAAATCATTATTCAAATTTATTAAAGTCTTGCAAACACTGTTAGCCTTAGCGTTATGTATAGCTTCTGCGACTAGCGTTTTGCTTATAAGCTGTTTGTCGAAAGTAAGATCGCCCTGTGCATCGTCTCTGAAATTGAAACTGGTGGTATCGCTGTTGTTACAGTATTCAATGTTGACGACGATGCCAGTATAGCCGCGGTAGCCGCGTTTGACTGGACTGATTCTGTTCTACCTGATGGTTCAGTTGCTGCAGCATAAGACTTGTTAGGTGTGAGGAACTGCTTCAAAATAATAACTGACCACTCAGTGCAGCTATGGTGGTGTTTTGTTGTTCAATTTAAAACAAGAAAGAGTTATAATTGAATGCTGTCTCGGCCAACTGAAACGCCGGTTTCCTATCCTACAGTATATTCGCCGCGTAAAATTGGAAAATGTTCCGACAATAATTATTGTTTGTATTGTACTCCATAATGTTGCGACGAGCTTGGGCGATCCTGACTTTGATTTAGTTAAACAAGACCCAGACGAAGATGAAGGAAATCATGAGAATGACGAACTTCCTCTCCGCCAACTAGGTCAACAAATAATAAATAGTTTTACTGATTAAACTGTATTTATAAGTTATAATAAGTTTTATTTTCGTGAACGTCATAAGATACAGGTGGCTCTGACGCTGCATCATTTCTTATTTCGTTTTATAATACTCTTGTTGTAAAATGCTTATTTGGTATTGCTGTAACAGCACTAGACGTTGCAGTTCTTTTGTAGTTAACCCTTTGGTTTCCTCAGTTTCGTATTTCTCTGGTACTAATTTTTTTTTGGTGGCAATCTCTTCTGCATTGCTTGCGCTGTAATACCAACTGTTTGCTCACTGCGCTCGGTATATAGTTCACTTCCTTCTTCTTGAACACTACCAACCTGAATGGCACCTCTAATTTTCCCAATTGTAGGATTACAGTCACCTTCCATAGCTATCAGCAACTTTTTTTCCCAATCTAACAATTTAATTGCTTTATTACCAGTTTTTTTTTAGATCTGTTTTTTTTTCAATCTTGATTTCATGTTGTTGATTTTTTTTAATAAGCCTTTAGTATCTAATGGTTTACCGAATGTTGATTCCTATTTTTTCAACATCTTCTTCTAGGCATCGTCCTTTCTCATTTTTATTTTTGGCACTTGTGACTTTTGGAAAATAATGGGAGCAATGGCAATTTCATCTGCGATGAACTGCAGGTCGTTGCCATTATTTTCTATAGTTGCCTCATAACTTGAGGATGACATGCTTATTAATTTGATAAAAAACTGTATCCAGTGAAAATACGGAACGGTCTGTGTAAGCTCTGGGGTACAACTGTCAGTGATGCTGAATGAGCGAACTCCCACGCCAGCCAACCACAAGCTGAAACAAGTCAGGACATGTCGCTCAAGATACAAATACCAGTCAACCTTTTACTTCTTCTTGGAGGATAACCTCGCAAGTATAAGGTAATCATTATGAATATGAAAACAAGGATATGCTTATACCTTATGCTTCCGAGGATATGCTTCTCTTTTATGAATACGGCTCATTATCTGAGAAAAAACTCAATTCACTATTAAACAAAAATAAGATTGAGGCATACTTTGTTTTGATGCTTTGCATCCTAGTTTTGAGTTGTTGAATTTTATTTTCCTATGATCTATGGAGTACCAGCACATAGTGAAATTGTAAACTTAGCTATAGTTTATATACTTGGCTTTGATAAGATTACCTGACTGATTTCTGTGAAAACCCAAGACACCTTTGTAAGAGAACTGGTAGAGGTATGGGTTTTGCGAGTGTTTCACCAACTGCTCAGCGAACTTTAGCACAGATTTTACAAAATCATGATCACTCATAAGCTGAAAATAATCACCGAATTAAGTGAGCTTTCACATGAAAAGTAATAATACAGTCATACATATCACTGATCACAGATTTCATTGAATCACAGGAAATTAGATAACTTGACGGATTAAGATTCAGAAGCCAACAAGAAAAACTTAATAAATGTCTATTCGATGGTGAATTACGTACATTTATTCGTTTCTTGGAAATACAAAACTTCTTGTAGTTGTAAAAGATAATATTGCAGTTGCATCACAAAAGTAGGTTGAACATTTCTCGGCCTGACAATGACAGACTGCGATGATTTTCAGTTGAAAAATGATTAGATTTTTTTACAGAATTCCCTTCGACTCGAACACACTTGATCCAACGTTTCCGACATAAGGATTCCTTCTCCGAAGTGGAAGACTGGTTGACAGTTGATCAAGAGTGTTGGAATAGCAGTTCCCCATAATTGTTGTTTCTGCCGTTTAGTGGTAACTAATCGCCATATAAAATCGGTCAGATTCATATTGAACTGGTCCAAACATTGCTGGGAAAGGCGCTTGCACATCCGCTTTTGATCAGCATTCAACAAATGCGGTATCCACCCTGTAGACCCTTCTCAAGATGTCTTGAACTCATTGGAATTTCTATGTCATGTCAGGCCAAGGACTTTCCATTCCATCTTCGAATTGTATGAATTTTAGTAACATCTGGCAGAGTTGAAATAGTTTCGTGAAGATGTAATTTAGTTACACTAAATACTATGCAGGGTATTCGAAAAATAGACGGAGAGTGTGATTCCTTGTTATTTTTTTTTAATTGATATCGTAAAAAATATTAATTCGATTCTGTTGAAATTTGGCGATAGTATTTATTGTATGAAGAGGCTGATTTAGTCCTAAGTAGATAAAATTATTAGAACCAGTGACGTCCCGAGGGCATCTTGTGTCACGGGCCAAAATCAGGTAACCTTTTTTACTATTTATCACTTATCCGTAGTTTGAATTTCTCTTCATTGATAATAGAGTGCCCATTCCTAGGCCAAACCCTCTTCACTGATTTTCTTTTGACAAATTTAATAGTTTATTGATTGTATATTTCACTATTATATCTTTCTTTCTCAGCGATTCAGTATGGTGTTGACGATCAGCAAAAACTGTAGTTTTTCTCCGTTAGTTGGTTTCCTATAAAACATACAAGATCTTCTTCAAGGCCACTCAAGATACCTTTTTCTAGGACGTTACATGTGCTGTTTCCGTTGAGGTCGTGGTGCAGGGGTCGTTTCGTCATTTTCCAGACTCTGGGATATTAGGCCCCAAGCGCCAATTCATGGACTAGGACCCTTTTTTTTGTAACTTAAGTTTAGTCATTTTGGTTTGGGTGCTACGTCTTCCATTCTTTTATGGGATTTTGACCCTCAGTGGTAAGTTCTTTTATATACCTTCGGACCACGTGCCTAAGTGCGTGTCCTGATGACGTTCATTCAATATCTGCTTTCTTTTAGTCAATAGAAACAGAAGATAATCATCATCCTTTCTCCTCCAGTTGGTTGCATCTTGTTGCAGTTTTGCCAATTGGTGGAAGCCATCCCCTTGGAAAAAAACCTGATGTGAACAGATAAAATGTCATTCTAATTTATAATTTCATAGATCTTTATACATTATTATTGCTTATTGAAATTCTTAGAGACTTCTTGATTTTATTGGACATTCTACGTATTCAAATATGGGGGCAGTGCCTACGTAGCACCTTCTATTGCATTGATCATGATTTTGATTTTTGAGCTGCCATAACCATAGAACAAGGGTATATTAGTTCAGTACATTTTTATCTTTTTTGCCTTTACTTTACTTTTCTTGTCCAAAAAAAATGTACATAGTTTTACTTCAAGTGCGATTGTTTTCAATGAGTAGTTTTATCTCAGACAGAGAGTAGAGTATATTTTTAAGCAGTCTTCCTCTCTCTAGGGTTTTTTTTACTACCATAATGTTTGGCAACGAGGCAAGCAGCCCCTGCCCAGTGACGTGCCCACTACTGGCCACATTTTGACCAGAGTTGAGGACGTCTCGGCCGCGCCTGACAAAGAAGACCTACAGATAAGTTGAATATTTAGGCGCAAAATATCTGTAAATACTTCGGGCGTATACTACGGTAGACGTTTTGCGGGGTTATCTCGAAAAATAATTTTGTCAGGTTGTATTTAAGATTTATAACATCCTTTATTTTTTTTATTACTCGCACTTCAGTAGTGGTGCACATGTGCGTTTTTTTTATTAATCAATATATTGTGATTCATTTGATATCTTGATTTATTTCGTCATCTCTGTTAGACTCTCCTTTTGTGTGTTCCAACTAACATCTAGGGGAGTTGTGGCTTAATCCGTCCTAAGTCACTGGCGCTCTTAACTCCCCTACTCTCCGCTTTATTGAGCTAGGGCCTGAATTTGCACGCCACCAGACAACTGTTTTGCTTGGACCAACCGTCATTGTGTTTTATTAATTAACCAAAAGAAGGCGTGGCACTTGGCGAATATTATTGGCAAAAAAATGTACGCCACTGCCTTTTTTGTAATTTTAATATTGGTTGTTTGATTAAGCATTTTCCGAGAAAAAAATAAAAACCGGTTTATTGCATGTTACTGGACAAAATTGGTTTATTAATTTTTGCTAAAAAAATCACAACTGCCTCGGAAAACCAATATTGAAAAATGTGTCTTGTATTACAACAAATAATATTGGCAAATTTTGACAGAATGGAGCAAATATTTTTCCCGTATCTTGAAAACATGTTTATAGGAAGTTTTTTCATATGTTTTAACAAGAATCATCCTCTAGAATATATCCGACTATTCTTCGTATTACACTTTTCCTTTTCATTGTTCAAAAGTTTCAACTGGCTAGATTTTACAAATATTTGTTAAGTACGTTATGCAATTATTTTCGGCCAGACTGCTGGTTGTGTGGCAGATGCGTAATTGTGTTGAAGTCGGGTTGCCGTGAGAACAACGCTTAACAGTTTGCAGCACTTTTTGGTCAATTTTTGCATTGTGCTCAGAGTGGATTAAATATTGAGTCACATCTGATTATACGTACCGTGACAAGTTTCCTAGGGTTGTCCACATAGTTTCCTCCGGAAGTATAAAAGTTCATCAATTCAGCTTTGATGGTATCCTTATTCTCCTCAGTGACATGCATATCATCTGGTATTGAATCACGACTTTGTGTGAATATTTCAGATATGTAACCGAGACCTTCTTTATCTGTAACGAGAATGTTGTTTCTAAAATAATGGTATTTGTCGCCAAAATCATAAGAGTGCAGTACAAAGCTGCATATGCGAAGTTTGCTAATAGAAAAATGGCAAAGTAGGTTAACTCTGCACTTCACACGCAACGCTGCCACCTATCCATAAATAACTACCGTAATCTTAGCAGGCTAATGCAGTGCTGTTTATTGTGGAAAGTCGAAGAACTGGATAATGGTTGGTTCATCCTTTCTGTCATATATAATTGAACACCTACAAACGTTAGAAGCAGTTATTGAAGGCCGTATCGTCAGTCGTTCCTACAATTGTAGGACGCCTTTATGGTCTCCTTGATTTCCATAGTCTCTCTCTCCTTCAGAAAGGCTGGGGCATTTCTAGGTTTCTACTGTCCGTGTCAGCGTCAGTGCTCTCCTATTGTGAGACTATTGTTCTCTTTTTGAACTGTAGGAAATTTGAGGCTGATATAACAAATCAAAAACATGAACAATTTGCTGCAAATAGATATTTGTGACATAACCTCAAAATAGAGTGCTGACACGGAACAGTAGAAAGCTATGAAAATTGAGGAGGCCATAAAGCTGTCCTACAAATGTGGGACTGACTGACGGTACTACCCTTACTGAATTTTGTAGCACTCTGTGTCATGCATTAATGTAACATATATCTATTAGAGTAACACTTAACCTGTGGTTTATGTGTATAGTTGCCTTTCCAACAAAACAACATGTATTGACAGAATCTTCTTCGCTGTAAACGTTTCAATCACAAAGGTGATCTTATTTAGTACAATGACAATACATCTTATTTATCTGAATTTTAGTTGACAGTTCGTTTGTTTTTTCTTGGAATAATTTGACTTACTTGTCAGTAAGAAATGCCTCTATCCAATCTTAAAGCTTACCTCGTGCATCAAAATGCTCAATTTTTGTACATCAAATGTTTATGCGGAACTTTTCAAAAGCTCTTTCGTAAACAAGATATATTATATCTATGGGATTTCCTTGATCATACACAGCTGTACATGTCATATAACATCCATAGAAACAACTTGTTTTCGAAATTTATAGTTTTTTTGGAGATCGTTGGAGAACCCTGTATACTATCGAAATAATTCAGCGCAGAGCGCCATCTGTTACCAGAATCGACCACTGCGAGAGTATATATATATATTGTTTGATGGCACAGTCACCATTATAACCGCTAGAGGCTGACGATTCTGGCGGCATAATACATGTGATCTAATAACTATTGAACAATATTAAGCATCATGCTACCGACCAAAGATACTGTCTTCGATAGAGAATAGTGGCTATCATTTTTCTCGCTGTCGCAGAGACAAAGCCTATACCATGCTGATGAGTTGCCAAACAGCACGAAACAACTATCAATGGTTGGATCTCTTGGGTCGGTGGGACAAAGTAGCTTGTTTGGTTTCCTGTATACTACCTGACTTACCTTCCATGAGGAAATAGTCTTCCTCGCTAGTAGCACCGAGTATACTGGTACTTTATTGAAATCTCCCTCTTCCATAGCTTCGTATGCCTGTTTGGTCAAAAAAGCACCATCGTGCTCGTGCTCGTATACCGGCGCAAAGAAAAATCCTTGGTACAACTGTAGATAGCTTTTAGGATTCTGGAAGATAATAAGCATATGCGTATGGTGACTAAGTTGTACTTTATACACCTGAACCGGGTCAGGTCATGTTGCAATTCTTGCAGTTATTCTAAGACGATATTATCTGGCGCTTCGTTTCACACCACCCCCAAATTTTAAACCACATCGTATACTCTACTAACAAAATTTTTACATCATAGTAGGCGGATAACGTACCATATGATAAATAAAAAATAAAAGCAATTATCACATTCAGTTCGACAGGGACGTCCTAGCTACAGCGCAATATTGCTAATTTATAGCACCCTGTAATAACGGCTGAAAGATAATATATCCATTCTGAATAAATTATCCTTGCTTGATTTCGATAAAATGAGCGTTGTTTCAATGACAAAAAAGTAAAACTCAATGAAGTGATCTAAAAATCGCCTGATATTTACCAAGAAGCCCTCATTTCTCCTAAGAAGATTGAGTGAGATTGGACTGAACCCTCCACCTGAACAGTTCCAAGAAACATTATCTCTACCTTTTCATTACAGTGGACCCCCGATAATCCGGCCCCTGTCTAATCCGGCGCCCTTGTCATCCGACATGTCTTTGAATGTTACATACATACATATTTGACAATCTTCGCTAATGAGGATCGCGCAGGTTTGAACAGGTTACAACTTGTACGCGCCACCGCTATCGTGCTCGACGCGTAAGCATTGTTTTACTTAGTTTGAATTTGACTACATGTGATAGCGGTACGGCCTAGCGTGCGTTCATTGTTTACTATTTATTCATTGTGTATTAAGTATAGTGTACCTAGTAATGTCATCACAAACTCAGAAGCGAAAGTACAAAACATTGACAATTAAAGAAAAATGTGATATTTTAGACCGCTTAAATCGCAATGAAACTTTCAGTAGTTTAGCAAGTGAATACGGAGTAGGCCGATCTACAATTTATGACATTAAAAGAACCACGGGAAGATCAAGAAATTCGTGTCAACTACTGACTGTGGGCCAGGCAAGAGACAGCTGAACATCCAGAAGTGGAAGAAGTTTTGTACATGTGGTTTCTCCAGGAAAGAAGGCATGCACCAATTTCAGGACCCATGTTGGCCATGAAAGCTAAGTTTTTTTATAAGAAAATAACAAAAAAATGATTTTGTGGCCAGCAAATGATGGCTAGAACGTTTTAAAAGTCGTCATGGCATACGTTTAATGACTATTACAGAAGAGAAACTTTCAAACGATGCCACCTGCATAGAGCCCTTTAAATTAAGATTTTTGCAAAAGATGAACGATTTAAGTCTTGACCCGTCACAGGTGTACAATGCAGACGAATCAGAGCTTTTTTGGCGTGTGATGCATAACAAAACTTTCGTTTTTTGTAACGAAAAATCCGTACCTGGACGAAAAGTACGTAAAGAGCGTGTAACCATACTACCATGTGCTAAAGCTGCGGGCACACACGCGCTTAAGATGATGGTCATTGGGAAATCTAATAAACCACGGGCATTCAAAAACATTGATTTACCTGTACACTATTACGGACAAAAAAGTGCATGGACGACAAAAGACCTTTCCAAAAAGTGGTTTGATGAATGCTTCGTACCTGAAGTTAGAAAATGGTTAAAATATCATAATTTTCCTCAAAAAGCGTTGTTGCTTCTTAATAACGCTCCCGGTCATCCGTCTGAAGAAGAACTAACATCTGAGGATAAATGCATCACTGCGATGTTTCTTCCGCCAAATTGCACTGCACTGATTCAACCAATGGACCAGAATATCACTCAGTTTGTCAAGCAAGACTATAAGAAAAACCTACTTCTGAGAGCCGTATCAAAAGACCAACCAATAGAAAAAACATTAAAAGAATCTAATATTAAGACTTGGTTTTTGCTCTTTGTCAGTCGTGGAATGCGTTACCGTCATCAACTATTAAATCGTCTTGGAAAAAGTTTTGGCCAGATATAGTCACCACTCCTAGCAACGTTCCACAAATCAGTGTAACTTCGGAAGTTATAGAACAAGTCGCTACTGAAACACAGATAAGTCCGGAAGATTTGGAAATCTGGTGCCGTGGAATGGATAAAGAGGAAAATGTTTTTCATGAAATGTCTGACGAAGAAATTATAAAAGAGGTTTCTAATTATACAACAAACAATCAGGAAAGTAACGACGACGTGATTGCAACTGCTCCACAAGTCACAGCACAAGACGCAATTAACGCTTTTGAGCTAGGTTTACAATGGGCTGAAGAGAATGGTACATCCTACAACAAACTTTTACTTTTGAGAAGACTGAGGGACAAAGCTCTGATCTCGCGTTATAACAACCTTAAACAAAACAAAAATTGATGAATATTTCCAAGCTTCATAATTTGATAAATTCAATAATGATTACATAAATGCGTAAATTGCTCTCTATGGGCTCTACCGTGTGAGGCCTCAATTAGTTATTATGATGTTAAAATTTCGTTGGATTATACTATCTTTTTCTAATCTTATTTGTAAGTCTCTTTAGCCTACCGTTGTTACTATCGCCAAGCAAGCATCATTAATTATCTCTGTTGGTATGTTTTTGAGAAACTCGTAAATAGTTTGAGAAGTATTATATTTATGGTAGTTTGCAGGATCTATATTTCTGATCAATTCCCTCGAATATAACTGGTAGTTCCTTTGGTACGCCCATGGACTTAGCGATGTCCCACTGAGCAAGATTGCGCTTCTGAACAAACCTAAAATGTTAATAAAAAAGCGATAATAGAGGAATGTTTCAGCAATCAGGGTGGTCCCAGAAGTATCCGTCTCAACGAAGAAAACACAAAATTTTTATAAAAAAATGTATTTATTTTTCAACATAATCTCCTTTGAGCTCTATACACTTTTCCCAGCGATGTTCAATAAGTTCGATACCCTTTTTATAATAAGATATCAGGCTCATCAAAATAGCCATTAACTGCCGACATCACTTCTTCATCGTGATTTATCGCTCAAACGTTGTAATAAGTTAATAATAGTCAATGAAAATTATCCCACGCGCATCCCAAAAAACCGACGCCATAACCTTGCCTGCAGATGAAACGGTCTTCGCCTTCTTGGAGCCGGTTGTCCCTTTTGAGTCCATTGTTTTGATTGTTCTTTTGTCTCGGGTGTGAAGTGATGGACCAATGTTTCATCCATGGTTATGAAACGACGCAAAAACTCTTCTTTGTTGCTGTGAAACTTCGCTAAACACTCAATTGACACATCTTCACGGATTGTGAGCAATCGCGGCACCCATCTTGCACACAGCTTTCTCATGTCCAAATTTTCAGATAATATGCGATGAACCGCACTTTTTGAAATGCCTACTATGTCTGCTAGCTCGCTCACTTTCAGTCGACGATCATCCAGTACCGCTTTGTGAATTTTCTTCACCATTTCTGGAGTCGTCACCTCATTTGGTCGACCACTGCGATGCTCGTCTTGGCAGCTCATACGGCCTCGTTTGAACTCTGCTACCCAATATTTTACTGTTGTAAACGAAGGAGCAGACTCGCCCAGAGTAAAATCCAGTTCAGCTTTTTATTGGTTGGGCTGAGGCCTTTGAAATAAAAGTATTGTACCACATAACGATTACCAATTTTCTCCATTTTTACAAATTCACTGAAAACGTTCAGTATTAATGGCTGCCAAATAATACTAAACAACGTGGCGTCTTCAAACTTGACACATATGCTTTATAGGTTGCATACTTTCTAATACAATGATATTTTCAAACAACTATCGCCATCTCTAGGTCAGGCCGGGTACTTCTGGGACCACCCTCGTATGTTATAAGAACAACAAATAACAGAAATTTCAAGAATATTGTTTTTTCTTCTTTATGTCAGTACTATCTATGTAGAATGGTCGGTTTCACAACCCGGTCGTTTTCTCAATATGCCCTATAACTTCACTGGTACAAAACTTAACTTATCCCATATCGTTGTACCTTTAGATAACGGACTCATAATCATGATAAGCACAAGAAGCAGAGCCAGCACTCTGACCAAAATTGTAATTTTGGTTGGATCACCACCAAAATGATGGATGTACTGATTGGCCCACTTTAAGGCCAAATTCTGATCTTTCAATCCAGCGTTTCCAGGTACCAAATCATCTCCAGTCGAAAGGAAACCTGAAAGTTATTTTGTTGTTAAATGTCTGAGTTTAAGCAATGACCAATAAAAATAACCACAAACCACATGTTCTTACAGATATCAGAGGTATACCGGCTTTTTTCAACAGCTCAGCTGGCATTTCGTCAGCTCCAGTCAACTATCCATCTTTAAGCTCCTGATGATAAATTTTACTTTTACATTCCGAAGAATATCGCTGATTCGAAAAAAATTTACGTCACAGAATAAGCAAAATTGAACCTAATCTGCCTCATCGCATTATGCAAAAAAAACATGACTATCTGGGGGAGCTTCGCCAGACGTAATATTGGAAAAAAGTCTGCACATCTGGTGCTTAATTAAAATAATAAAAAACATTTACTTTTAGTCCAGGGAAAGGTCTGCTGGACCGGAACACGGATTTTATCTAGAAAAGTCTTGTGTATAGGTAATAACCTCTCAATTGATGCCTCAACAGTATTTCGTCCGATGTGCTTTAGTTTTTCAGATGTCGGAGAATGAAGAACGTCATTGTGATTTAATTACGCTCAAAATACTGTTTTTGAAGTCATGGCGTTGCGTATCTGGTTTATTTTAATGAGTTATAGGGCAACCCTACATCTCATTTTTCATATAACCTTTTTCACGTTTTAGAATATAACTGACCTGACTAAGTAATACTAAAAAACGCCCGTTAGAGAAGAGTCATTGATCAGCCCTCCTCTCAACAACATCGAACATACGTATAGATAATGTAGTCGGGACTGCACTACCCAAAGATGTGAGCAATACTCGAGGCTATTATGTATGCGTCGAAGAAAGAGACCAAACCAAACAGTGATCATC